GGGGTTCTGGCAAGACAGGCCTGGTGGAGACATGCATTCTTCTCCTGAACCCTAGGGAGGTGTGTATTCCCAAGTAGGGCTATTATCCAGTAACAGGATGTCTCGCAGGAAGATTCATCTCAGCTGGAAGATGACTAGAGTTGACCTTCCTGGGTTTTGGACTTGCTTGAAATTCATGATCCCTTTCCTTCTAGATAAAATATTTCTGCATTTTGCAGAGGGAATGTCCATCCTGTGTCTGTCCGCCCTTGTATTTTAGTGGCAAATAACTTTAGATTTCCGGGTTCACAGCTAGGAAGGAATTCTATCTCAAAAGGCACATCTGGAATTTCATGCATTCCTGATTTTGATCATATTTAGATTGTAGGCTTAGAGGCAATACTGGAATGGGTCATGGTGGGATGAAGTGAATGTGTTCTGCATATGAGGTAGACTTGAAGCTTGGAGACCAGATGACAATTGTGTGAAGAGGTTCTAACCATTTAAAGAGAAGGTCTTTGAAGTAATAATATGGCCAATAGGGTAAACCCTGGTACAGTATGGCTGGTGTTCTGTAATCAGATAACCTGAGGAAATAGACAACATGGCCAAGACCATGGGAGACCCAGGAGAAAGACTACCTGTAAAACAAGGCAGAAAGCCCTAGAAACCACAGGTACCAGCCTCCTATAGAGGGAAGATTGTGTTACTTGTGGCATTTGTCACAGTAGTCTTGACAGACTAATAGGCTGTAAACCATTGAAAGGTGGAGTTACTCAGGAGTCTGTGGCCTTGAACCACATTTGTAGAGAGAGGGCCTTAGCCCTATCATCTTGCTCTGTTTTCTTTTGAGTAATGAAGTGGAACCCATAAGCCTTAGATTTTCTTTCCTTTTTTTAATGAATCCTTGACCCAGTCTTTTGCACTAAAGCTCTGTGAGTCCTCTGAAATAAAACTGAACATACCATTCAATTGACTGAGAAAAGAAAATGCCTCTTAGGAGTGTGGTGGGAGTAAGGCTTCCTTGGAAGCAGAGCCTGGGCCAAGAGAAAGATTAACTCTGTCTCCTCAGCAGTGGGCTGTGTTCCCAGGATCCCCAAGCCAAACATCTCTCTGAAGTGTGTACCTGCTGACCCACTTTGTTCAGAGAATGGCAATATGGGGTTTGCATATCCATCCAACCTGCACTCATGCCTGCAACTCTGGAAGAGTAGTTGGTTCCATCCTCAAACTTATGTGGGTCTCAGACAGTCGCTACTCCAATACCAACCTGATCCTGTGCATGTAGGCATAGACTACAGACTAACTATTAAGTAGTTGCCAAACCATCACAGGACAGCTTTGAGCACCAAAGGATCAAATGATTATTGCTGTGGATGGGAAAGCAGATGTCGAGGCCTGGCTCTGTTGAGCTCTGTGAGCATTTATAGCTTGTGTGCATGTGTAGACATCTGACAACTTTGGGTGTCAGTCCTCCCTTCCACCTTGAGACAGGATCTCCTTGCCTCTAGCTACTGTATACAACAGGCTGGCTGGCCAGTGAACTTCTGGGGATCCTCCACTTTCCAGCTTCATTTGGAGCACTGGAAATAGATGTACACTGCTGCACCCAGCTCTTACTGGGTTCTAAGGATTTTAAGTCAGCCATCTTTGTGGCCTCTACTCAGACATTCCTAAGAATTTCACTTGGCAGTTTGTGTGCTTTGCTTTTGTTTACAGTAATCCTAAAGGGCCATTTTCATATATATTCTAGGGAATCCCAAATGACCAGAAGTCAAGCTACTTTTCTGTGTGTCACATGGCAGGTGAGGACATAGAGAATCTCAGTTCCTCTGTAAGAGACTGATGTCTAGTTTTGTTGTTGTGTGAATTCTAATTGATCCTAATAATAAAAACGCAGAGTCAGATATAGAGGTTAATGCTGAAAGATCAAAGAAACAGAGCAGCCAGCCACTAGTTCTTACCGCTATTGAATCCTCAGATCAAAGGAGCTATCCTGTCCCTACGAATTCTCAGACTGAATGCAATGAGTTCCTGTCTCTTCCCACCTTAGATTCCTCTCTCCACCCAGTCATATCACCCCTGTCTCCACCTCACTAGTGCTGGGTTTACAGGTGTGTTGTGACTCCCAAGTACTGGGATTAAAGTTGAATGCCACCACCACCTGTCTCTATCTCTCTTTTAGACTGGATCAATCTAGTGTAGCCCAAAGTGTCTGTGAACTCACAGAGATCCACCTGCCTCTGTCTCCCAAGTGCTGGGATTAGAGGTGTATGCCACCACTGCCTGGCCTCTGTGACTAACTAGTGGCTAGCTCTACAGTCTGATCTTCAAGCAAGGTTTATTTGTTAAACCACAAGCAAATATCAACACAGTTTGTGGTTAAAATATGCATAGCATGAAACTTTGATTTTCGGCATGTAATAAATGCATTCTCGCTGTTGTGCAGCCGTCTCCTCCAGCCTACTGCTATCTTTTGTGGGTCTGTGTGCTGCTCATAGTACCTCACATGAGTAAAATCACATAAAGCTTACCTTTTTGGAACTAACTGTCCTTGGAACTCATTCATCTATCTTATGACCTGTCATCATTCTCCTTTTAAGACTGAATACTCTTTCATTTTGTATACATTGCCCCATTTTGTTTACTCACTCACCTGCCATAGTCACTTCCTGGTGCTTGCTTCCATATTGCATTCGTGTGAATCACAGTGTCATGAGCATGGTTATAGAAATACCTTCTTGGGACTCCTTCAGATGTGTACTTCAGTGACTTTTGAAGTAGCTCAGTGCTCTAGAAAGACTGGCAGGGGACCAATTTAAGAGAATAACCACTTCTGAGCCCAACTTTCAGTTTAACTAAATGTCACCAGGGCAGTTGTGTTTCTGTACTGTGTTAAATTTTTTTTTCCCTGTTTTGAGACAGGGTTTCTCTGTAGCTTTGCAGACCAGGCTGGCCTCAGGCTCACAGAGATCCACCTGCCTCTGCCTCCAGAGTGCTGAGATTAAAGGCATGTGCCACCACTGCCCAACCTGTGTTAAACTTCTAAAGGGAACTTTTGTTTATTTACTGGAATGTGTTCCTTATAAATGTTGACATCAGAACTGTTTCCTCAGAATGACCCAGATGAAGGCAGGAAATACATCAAGCCTATGTCTTTTGTTAGTTTCCTGTTAACTTACCACACAGTAAGCTTTCAGATCTTTCCTTAAATTCATTCTGTGGGTTGAAAAATCAAAAGTGGAAATTATTTTTATTTTATAAATCTTGTTCACATTTGCTAGGTTGGCCACGAACTCATGATCCTCCTCTATCAAAGTCCCAGAATGCTGGGAATACAAAAGTGTGCCATCATAGGAGCTCACTTTGAGGCCAGTCTGAAAGATACGAGAAGAGATTTTCTTAGAAGAAGCTCTGCAGTGATGTCTGTTCCTCACCAGGAGGCAGGCTGGACCCATAAGCTGCTGCCTCACCCTCAACTGGGATTACTTTTATTAACTCTCAATTAAGTAAAGCATAGTTTGTTGAAGTTTAAAAATGAAATTCCTAAATAACACTAATTTAAATTCCTTAAAGAAAATAAAATTCAGCACATCCTGTGTATTTGGTACATGTGAGCTCCTTTCACAAGAACATACAGAAACAAATAAGATTGTTCTGTTTGGTCAAATAAAAGACCTGAAAACAGTGTCAGTCAGAACTCTATCACCAGCTTGCTTAACTGACTGCTTTTCTTCCTTCCATCTATCAGTATTCTGTGTGTTTGCAGGAATTTCAGTTCTTTACCCAATGGCTGTGGCTCAGGTCTTAGCCCCTCTACCTCAGCTACTTTGAAGTATGGGGTCTCTATGATTGTCGCAGCTTCTGATACCATAAGGAAGTCCCACAAGTTGAGTGGGACTCAGTTTAGCCTGGGAGCAAGATAGTGCTGCATTGGCAGGTCTGAAGAGTGGTGCATAGGATGGACAGGACCCACCCAAGTTCACCTTCACAACTTGGGAAGTGAGGCCAGGCTTCTAGCAGGGGGGTTCCTCTGGTGACAGTTTGCCAATCTCTGACTGTCCCTTCCCACCAGAGCTCTACCCTCCCTACTCACATCTACTTTCACTTGTCTAGAAAATCAGCTGGTATGAAAACTGGGTGTCCTGGCTAAGACAAATAGAAGCCGAGTACACCAAACAGTTTTAGTGAACTGTGTACAAAGGTCAGAATCAGGAACCCCAGGGTGCTGGCAAAACCAGAACCAGCTCCCACAATAGTAACAAATATGCCTACTTTGAAAGATGAGTGAGATGTCCTCAAGATTGAAATTTGAAAATTCACTCTGTTGTCATCTTTTCCATCAAAATAAAAGTGAGCTATATGGTTGGACCTAGACATCTGTCTTCACTATGGAGACATATCCAGCGCTAGTCAACTCCACATGGGACCTTTTACAGAGTTCTGTCAGCTTCTTTAGCGTGTTCCCCCTCTCCCAGCTCAGTGCCCAGACTCCTGGAATTCCTTTAAGGGCTGGAGCTGAAATTGAACCCTTCCCCTAGCTTTTTTCCCAAAGGAAGCTCCTAAACAGCATGCGAGCATGACACACACACACAGAGAGAGGGGGGGGAGGGAGGGAGGGAGGGAGGGAGAGAGGCGGGGAGGGAGAGAGAGGGAGAGAGAGAATAGACGTCAGCTACAGACACTAGCTTCTCAGGTAGCTCCTGAGACTCCGGCTGTCCCTACAGCTCTTGATGGATTCCTTACAGGTAGAAAGAAGCATTGTCTGTATCAGTCCTTAGAGACACCAGTCTCTCTAAAGCAGTTTCTGGTGATCATTTCAGTCAGGCTTCATCTTTCCGGACTCCAGCTCATGTGGATTTGCTTTCTAATACCTATTTGGTGGTAATATTGCATACCTGGTGTTCAATCAAGCAGTTAACTGGAGCATACAATTTTCTGGAGTCTGGTCTTCTGTGGGTTGGCAGCCATTCCTACTAGTAGGAAACTAAGTATGACCATTAGTTGCTTTTGTTTTGCAGGAATGAGCTGGAGCGACAGTTCCTAGAATTGCTACAGTTCAACATCAATGTTCCTTCCAGCGTATATGCCAAGTATTATTTTGATCTTCGTTCTCTGGCAGAGGCAAACAACCTGAGTTTTCCTCTGGAGCCTTTAAGCAGGGAGCGAGCCCACAAGCTTGAGGTAAGTGGATTCACATACCACTGCAGTGTATCATTCCATTACCGTCTCTGTGTTCCATACTTTGTGTCTCTCAGTGTGTTCTGTGAAATGATGACAGGACCCTAGATGGGTTGCTGGCCAGTTCATTAACTGAATATATATGTATACTTCATTTTCATAAACATGTGACAGCTTTTACTTAATGTATACCAAGTCTGTTTTAAAATGAAAGATTTTTTAAACATTGTTTGTTTTGTTTTTATGATTGTAAGTCCACAAAAATAAGTATTTCCCAGCATGCTTTTTTTTAAAAGCAGGAAGCTGCCAAATAACCTTAGCAATTGAGAATTCAGAAAAGCTTTTATTTTATGTTATTTTTTCCCCTATAGGATTCTTTTGTCATGGTGTGGGTTGAAGGCTGTTGTTCTAACCTATGGCTATTTATCACAGCAAATGTGTGTTTCCACCAGCTCCACATATCTGATTTATAGCAGGTTGCAGAGAGCAGGAAAGACAAAGGCCAAGTGGTGAGAAGGAGCACTAGTGAGACCCCCACCAATCATTCATTGTGTGCTGACCCTGATCTCATCTGTCTGGGCTTCAGTTCCTAGGCAATGTGATCTCAGTCATAGAGCCTGTTCCAGTTTGGTTTCTATGCTGTGATAAACACTGGCTAATAGCATCTTGAGGAGGAAAGAATTATACTTCTACATTATAGTCCATCATTGAGAGGGAAGACAAGGAAGGAACCCAGAGGCAGGAGGAATGGTGCTTAATGGTTTATACCTCATGCATTGTTATACAACCCAGGACGACCTGCCCATTGGCCAGACTGATAGAGGCATTTCCTCAGTTTAGGTTTTGTCTTCCCTGATGGCTCTAGCTTATGTCAAGTTGGCAAAAAACTAACCAGCACGAAGCCTTAGACCACAGTGGAAGATGGAAGAGACCTTTTCCAAACTCCGTAAGGCCTTGTGGTACTTACTCCACTGCTTGCCTCCCTCTTGGGAATGGTGCTCAAACAAGGCCAGTAGTTGAATAAAATTAAGCCAGAGGTGGAAAGTGGTTTTGGTGTTTTGGTTTTGGTTACTAAGGAAGTTGTATTTAGTATGGATTTCCTCCACATTCATTCTGCTGAATACTGTTGTTCTAGTTTCCTTTCTCTTGCTGTGATAAAATACCTAGACAGCAGCATGAGGAAAAAAAGGGTTTAGGCTTAAAATTACCATGTTACAATTTGTTATTTCAAAGAAAGTGAAAGCAGCTAGAGATAGCACAGCAGAGAACAGAGGGAGAATAAAGGCATGCATGCTTAGTGTTCAGCTAACTTACTCTCTACTCTTACACTGTCAAGGGCACAAACCAGGGAACAGGGCTACCCATAGTGGACAGATCTTCCCATATCAATTAAAGCAATCAGGACACTCTTCTATAGACAAGCCCACAGGACATTCTGCTCTAGACAGTTCCACAGTAAGATACTTTCAAGCAATAGAATACCTTCTCTGTTCCTGCTCATTATACTTGAACTTGTCAGTTTGGGCACAAAGGTTCTGGTTTTTTTCATGAAGGTTATTAAAAGAGCAAGCAATTGCCGGGCGGTGGTGGCGCACGCCTTTAATCCCAGCACTTGGGAGGCAGAGGCAGGCGGATCTCTGTGAGTTCGAGGCCGGGCTGGACCGATAGCCTCCGAAACAATACAGAGAAACCCTGTCTCGTAAAAACCAAAAAAAAAAAAAAAAAGAGCAAACAATTAAAATAGTTTTGTTTGGGTTTTTTTTGCAGTTGTTGTTGTTTTTTGTTTGTTTTTGTTTTTTTTAGTTTTGTAGACAGGGTCTCTCTATATAACCCTGACTGAACTCACTATGTAGACCAGGCTTGCCTTGAATTCATAGAGATAGATTGTCCTGCCTCTGCCTCCTGAGTGCTGGAATTAAAGTCTTGTGCCACTATACCCCCCCAACAGCCCATTAATTTTAAAAAGAAACTTAGTAAAGCAAGGGAAGAGACTAGGATTAACATAGAACTTCAGGGAGATTTCGATGTCATTTCTTGAACATGCTGGTGTGTAGTGGAGGACAAGAGCAGAGTACCTTTGCAGGCTGGGTTTTGCCATTTTACAAATTACTCTTAGATGGACTCGAGTGTTTTTACTCTGTCTACATGTTAGAGAAAGCTATTGTTACCAAATACAGTCTGGCTAAGAGGAAATACTTATATTTGTTGATATTATGGATTCAGACATAAGCTATTTATGAGAAATAGCACTTGCTAATCTTAGGAAACTTAAATAAAAGAACTTGGTCCAAAAATTCTGATGCCCCTGTAGAATCTGACTTGTGTTTTTATTGTGTCCCACCTGTACTGTGTGTACCATGTGTGGAATGATGTTCCTCAGTCTGGTAGTCTGCTCTCCCTCTTGACCGTTTGGCTTCAACATGGATGCCTGTTTTGTTTCTCTCCTCCAGTCCTCTTTCTCTGATGCTACTGAAGCTACTTTTTTAAAATGCTGTTTTGAATTTTAACATGTTCTCTTAAAAATTACTAGCATATATATATTGACTGCAGACTACAAAGTGTTTCCATCCTGGCCCTGAGTGGCCTCTCAGTCCCTCAGAACCCATGAGTCTGGTCTCACCAACACCTACCATACAATTGGCTCCTATCTGGACAACTTATTTTCTCCATCATTATAATGGTTATCTCTCACCAATGTGTGTGTCCCTTGCAGTAGAATTGAGCATCCACTCTCAGAGTTGGAGTTGTGCTGAGCAGCAAGGCCTATTGAGCCAGCAGAGTTGGCAGCCTTGCAGAGTCCCTGGCTGAGGAGTCCCCATGGAACCTGGTGTATAACCTGCATTATCTTTCTCCCTCTCAGGCCATCTCTCGTCTCTGTGAGGACAAGTACAAGGACCTGAGAAAACCCACAAGGAAGCGTTCAGCAAGTGCTGACAACCTGATTCTGCCACGGTGGTCCCCAGCTATCATCTCCTAACTGGGGCACCCTCCTAAGGCCATGCCATCCCTCAGTTTCTCCTTTTGTTTGAGAAAAGATGAACTTGGGGTGGTTTATTTTGTTTTTTTCTTTTCCTTCTGTTTTTAACACATAGCCCCATCAAGGCTGCCTTCACACCCGCCTCCACACTGCGTTCTGTACGCAGAGAGGCTTTAAGGGACGTGAAATCAGTGTTCTGGAACCCAGTATCAAGCCTCCCTGGCCATCATGAACAGCACTTCTTTCGTGGAGGAAAAAGACTCTAATCCTGGAGGAGGAAATGAAGGAAAGGGAAGTTGTGTTAAGGTGGAGAGTACTTGGTAACTTGGCTGTTTCTGGGTCCCTGTCTGGCTATAGGTACCAGATGGAGCCAGAGGTAGGTAGCAGAGTTGAATGCCCATCCAAGTTGGGAGTGTCACGCAGTGCCCTTGGGATGGGTATGCTCTGTAAGACTTCCTGCATTCCTTCTTGCTGCTTTCTTGGGATTGGGGAGGGGATTTGTTGTTCATTTTTATTCTGGTTTGGTTTCAATCCCACAGAGCAGAGAATATAGTTTGTACTCACCATGGCACAGACATCCAAATAAATAGTACTGATTGTTTATCTCTGCACCATCTCTTCTAGCTGTCTTCTGAGCTTTCTTCCTCACAAGTAAAATGTGCTTGTTGTTTCTACACACCTGTTTTATAAGAATCTCTTTCAACAATAGCAGGATTAACTTGACTGTAGTGCTGAACCAAAAGTATCCCTCTCCTGCCTCACCCCAAGGAAGTTCTATTTAGATTACATGGGTGCTTGTGCCTTCCAGTTTTCTTGTAATTGGTTATTCATGGTTTTGTTTTTGTCATCCCTCTCCCTCCCAGGTTCTCTTTCTGCTAACATGAAGGTGTAATTACAAAACTCAATCAGACTTTGTGGCTGAAGGCAAAGGTCCTCAGCATAGGCATCCCGGATAGAGAAGCATCCAGGGAGCCAGGTTTGCCTGACCTCATTGTGAGGAGCCGTTCCATGTGCTCCCTGCCTGGTCATTCTTCTACTTCCATGTCCATTGTTGCAAGCAATATTCTTCTTGACTTTTATATGTTTACTTTAAATCAAATTTAGTCTATTTGTATACAATTTTTTTAAAAATCTAAAATTTAAAAAAAAAAGGGTGGGGGGGGGGAGTGGGTGGGTGGGTATTCCAATGGGAAGATCACTAAAGGGGAAAAAATGTTACTGTTTCCTGAGGTATTTTTCACAGAATGATTGAATAAAAAAAAAAATAACAACTTGCATTTTCATTGTGGGTGCTTGGAGAAGCTACACAAACTGTGAAGGCTCATGCTTCCTTAATTATAACCAACTTTTGTGTTTTCTGACTGTTTCTGATTTGCTTTGGGCTAGATCAGAATCTTTTGTTGAAAAAAAATAAAAGGGTTAAAGGACCCTGTCCGTGAGAAAATCTGACCTGAAGTCTAAGAATCCAAGTCTCTCATGCACAAGTGCTTTGCTTCTGCTCATCTTCTTAGCTTAAAGTGATGGAGATTTGTGAGTTTTTCCTTGTTTGAGACACTTAAACAAATGCTAGCGCCCTCTTCTGTGTGAGCTAGGAAGAGTTTAGAATTGTCTGTTAGTGTTAAATACTCTAAAATCACATGCCTGACCCCAACAGGCATCTCTCCATGGAGCACACTTTGGAAGTGGAAGGAACAAAGTGTCAAAATCCCAAGAGCATGGAGCCAGAAATGTTAGTCAGGGTTCAGTGGAATATGTGTTGTGCAGTCATGTTTCCAGTGAGAAATATGAGCAAGTTCTGGTCTAAACTTCTGAAGCAGGAAGTGAAAAATTAACTACCCTCCAATTACACCTCTGATGGTTTGTTCTGAGTGGGAAACAAAATCAGCTTCTCTTTTGAAAACCCTTAGGCAGAGGTCTAAAAGTGCAGAAAGTGTCGTTTCGTATCCTCTCATCTCTATAACTCTAAAAGGGACCTATTTTTCTTAGCCAAATATGAATACCTCTTAGACAAATTCCTTCCTCTCGTGTATAATACCTTATTTTACCAGCCCGTTTCAGGAAAGAACTGCTGACTTGATAGCAGAAATCTTATTTTTATTCCTTTTATTTGAATGCGAGATTTGGAAATTGACTTATGTAAATATTTCAATGCACCTGATACTATTTTGTGGAGTTTATTAAACTACTTTAAAAGATTGTACAGTCTATTTATTGTATTGTGTACATACAGTCTGATATCTGCCATCAATAGTGACTCCTTATGGCCTGGCTCAGTTTTATTCAGACTGTTGGCTGTTGTGTTCAAGCCTTGTGCACTGGACTCTACCTCTGAATAGGAAACTTTTCCCTACTCATCAGTGAGTGTTAATTTGTATTAATTAGTTGTGTTTCTTGCACTAAGGATTTCAGTTGTACCTTTTTGCTTGAATCACTAGGCATGTAGGTAGAGACCCATTTCATTTTCCTGTACAATGATAAGGACTTACTTTTTGTTCTCTGGTGGCTCCAAGTTTGCCAGAAGAAAAAGAAAAAACAAAATAAATCCAATAGTATGTGTTAATAAATCATAGTGACTGTAGCTTTTTTGCAGAGTAGTTCAGTGTTCAAGACTGGATGCTGTTCAGGAATGCTATCTCAGTGCAGCCTTTAATGGAAAGCTCATTCTCATTTAAGGATGAAGAAAGCCACATTTGATGACTTCAGACTGATTTAAATAACAAATATAATTTGTTGGAGAAACACACATTCTGGAAAGTTTTGTTTTATTCTTTCAACTGGAAGAGGAAAGGAGTTGAGTTTAAATGAAGTTAAAAAGTAATGGGATCCTGAAGGCCCTAGAGGTGCTTTCATGCCTTAATGCTCAGGTGAGGCCAGGTATGGCCTCACACCTTTCAGCTGTTGGAGCTAGCTCTTCTGTGTTCTTCTCCATGGTCTTTGCCTGGGACATCTCCATCTTGGAGTTTCCCTTGGTTCAGGGGATTTTTGCTGCTTAGCTGAGCTTCAAGGCAGAATTTAGTGAGTCGTGATTTTGCATATTCCTGCTGCTTTAGGAACTGCAACCTGGGGCCATATTTTAAACTTTTGAGTTTTATATATATATATATATTTCTAGTTCATTATAGGTATTTAATAAGTTAAATAAATATGTATGTACATAGAACAAATAGTGTCTGTCTTCCTGCTTTATTTATTTGTTTTTAAGATAAAATTGGACAGGTTTTCCAGGGTAGTAGCACTGACCTGTAATCCCAGTGGACGTGAGGCAGGAGGATCATGATTTTGAGGCTGGTTCAGGCTATGTAGTAAGACACTGCCTCAAAAAAGTAAAATTGAACAGCTTTTTATGGGTGGTGAGTAAACTAATTCTAAGAGCAGTGTGAGAAAGTGTATGTGCCTTCAGTGATTGAAAGACTATGAGACCCAGTTGGGACTTCAGTCAGGTGACTTGAGTTACCTAGTAGGAATCAAATAGAACATATAGTATGTTTCTATTTTACAAGCCACTGTCTCATAGCCTTCACTAGAGTAAGTATCTCAAGACTGGGGCTGGGTAGTTCTTAAAATATGGATGGTCTTCTGAAAAGCCAGTGACAGACAGTGCCTATACTTGTTGACAGAAGAGGAAACAGGAAGCATAACCTTCAACAGAGCTAGGGAAAGAATGCTTAGCTTAGGGCTTGAACCCTCAGCTTCATGAAGAATGGAGATTCTAGGCCCTCATGGAAATTAACAGTCCACTCATAATGAATGCAGAGCACATAGCAGCACCAGATTACCTGTGTCAGAAGCAAGCTGTGTTCGACAGGGAGTCAGTGAGGAATGGGTACCCACAGTGCTGGTGACTTGACCAAGCTATACTCCTCTATGCTACTTGTTGTAGCTTCTTAGTGGCTATGTATATGTTAAGACCACCAGTCCTCTGGTGTGACTTTTACTAGAAACTTCCTCAGTAAGCAGTACAAGAATGGTTATTTTTATGGGCAGTAAGAGTCACTGGGAGCTGCTTTGTGTGTGTGCTGCAGCAGGGTGAACTATGCCCAAGCCAAGATTTGTTATAAAAACTGCATAGAGAGTTCTGTAAAAATCTATTTATAGTAAGAAATGCACTCCAACATGTTGCCTGACTGGATGGCATTTGGGTTTTACAGGTCCCAGTAAACTATCTTGTATCCTTTTGTGGTTTGTTTGGGGGCAGGGAACTTTATTCCTTTTGAGTATTTTTGTTTATATAAATAAATTATTTCAAATGTGCAATCAAAGAATGTCATCTCAAAATAAATGCAGTTTTGACAAAAATGTTAACCATGACTTGAGCTTATATGTAGTAATTCTGTTGATATTGTTGATTTGTGTTGTAATAGAGCCTGGAGTTCTAGTCCAAGTCCAAACTTTGACAGACTACCTCTGTCTTCCGTGGAGGTGAGTGTCAGAGACTTGCTAATACATGAACACATGTACTGAGTGGTTCTTGTGGAATGTACCTCCAAATTCTGATAGGAAAGACGGACTTAATGTAAAGAGAAGATTAAGCCCACCAGAGTTCCCCTGTAGGTGCTAGTCACCTTTTGCAAGGCCCACTCACAGAGAGGGTGGCCATTGGTAGATGCATAAAGCTCATGGTTGTTCCAAAGTCAGCTATGTTCAATCCTTCCCTAGCTCCTCGGTTGTAGCCATTGTTGACCTTGTCCTCAGGTAGAAATCCACTGGATCTAGCCGTTGTGTTTTTGTCTGGGTTTGTAGATACTGGGAAATACCAGAACAATGTCATGGATATCTGACTTCACCACGCTACTTCCCCACTCTGCGAAGAGTACTGCTTCCCAGGGTTGCAAGCATGAACTTATCGTGGAAGCCTAACCTTGAAAAGGGGACTTCGCCTCCTCCCTTGTGGCATGTCCCACCTATCCAGAAGATGAATAGACAACCACCTCCAAGCTTCCCACATCTGTGCCTGAGCACCAGCTACTGAAGTCTGTGTGAAAGTTCTTGCATTTAAGGTGTACCTGAAAGTTGGGGTAGACTCTGGGGAAAAGACCAGCATTTGAGAGGAAAACATGGTGAAGTAGTAACTAGTGTGGGATACCATATGGTGGGGGAGGGGCCTCAGTGACCATATACATTAGTAGATACATGACCTGGCAGATGACAGGGATTCTGGGTTTGTCTTTCTTTTGGATAATCCTAAAATTCTTTCTACTTCTGAGGTTTCCAGGAACCTCTGGAGACTAATAACAAGTTCTCATCCAAAGTAATGTTTGGGCGGGCGGACAGATCAGGGATAGTAAGGCAGTGGGAAAGCTGCAGTGTGTCATAAACTTGCCTGCCATGTTGAGCCTACATGGTAGTCTCCTACACGTGACAAAATCTGAAACACTTCTAGAATATTACCCAGAAAATGTGAATTTGTTTAATACGTTAATTTTAATGTAGGCTTTAGATGATCCTTATATTGTATTCAGCAGCTTTGTATTGACCTTGTATGGCACTAGATACTGTTGGTATTGTCCTCAGTGCAGTGCATACAGACAAGGTCTTTGCAGGAGGGCTCATCAACAAACAGCCCTAAAAGTGTATACTTTGAAATTGAATGGTGTGCTGGTAGGATGAAAGTGGCATTTTGAGTTAAGGTACCTGTGGAAGAGATGTAGGTAAAAGGGTTAGCACAGAGGGCTGCTTAAGTGTTTCACTGTATGATACTGGACTCCATTGCTAAGTGTGGTTCTGGTGCTCAGAATAACTTGTAGGAAGCACAGTTCCTGCCTTTGTACATAAAGACCAACCTTGGGAAGAGCCCCGCCCTTTTCACACATGAAAAACTGGCAACAAACAACTAGTCAATTCATGAAATCATTTGTTGGTATGACTTCTTGGAGGAATTAGCCCTTCCTATGTCTATTGTGTTGTTGCAGATTGTGACTGAACCTTCTGTCAAGATGCTGGGCCTTGCCTTCAAAACTGCAATATTTGAGGCAGGATCAATAGTTCAAATGTGACAGTAATGAAAAGTGGATCCACTCCTGTAGGCATGAAAAGGATATCTGAACCTGTCTTGGTAACAGATAACATATTAGCCACTTCCTGAACATTCTTTCGCCCTACAGATAATCTTTGTTCTACCATCTTTTGTTGGGTGTCATAATATGCCCATGATTTGGGAACCTTAGAACTAATGTGGTTACTACCAAGGAAGTCAAAAAGACAACCAGAAAGACGTTACTACACTTTCAGCAAGATGGCAACTTAAAGATAATCAACATAAAACTTGAAAACCTTATAGCTCACTAGCCATAACCAGTGACTAAACATGATGTGGAACAGATGCCATACCAATTTATAGCATAATCTGAGAACAAAAGTATAGAAGTGCTTAGTTTGCCCAGCACAGTAAACCTTGAGCCCCTGAACCCTTTCAGTCTCAGGAGGTAACTGCTGTTGGAATGGATGAGAAGAAAAACTATCGCAAAACACAAACAGGGAACTGAAAATATTTGCTCTGCTTTTGTACCAAGCCAAAACCTACAAATCTAACCTGTTTAAGAAATGAGATTTTTGTGCATGTAGTCCAAATGAAACCACACTTGTTCAGGATTATCCCTAAATCTACCATCCAGTCCCTTTAAGAAGAAGGTGGGAATGAAGTGTAAGAGCATTAAATAGACAAATCAAGAAACTCCAGCATCACTGCTACCAGAGATGGGAAGACCTTTTCCCTACAGCGCTCAAAGCGTTGTCTTGTGCTAGCTTGACATGAGACATCACCTCAAAGCAGAATGAAGGTATGCTGGGATCCGTCCAGTGTGAAGAAGTTTGTTAGTGCAACCCTTGGAAGCTAGCATGTATACAATTCCTAAATAAGATGAGTGGGAATTATCAAGAAGACCTGAAGATAAGAGACACTACCCTGTTCCTAAATGGGAAGGTATGGTGGCACAAAATGCCTCCCAACTCCACCCTTCATCTATTGTACTCTCAGTCCACCAAGTTGCCGTTGTTTAGGATCTGTCTTGGAACTGTTACCTTCTGACATGCTCACACACATCATGAGTTTTCTCACCTTCATCCTCACATCTTTTAATGACACTTAGTGACCCTGTAGAAGGAAGCTATGTCACCTGTGGGGTTTTCCTTCAGGCCTCATGCAACTCTCATCCCCAGCTGCTGTTTCTCTTGTCCTTTTGTTTACGGTCTTCTGGTCACTAGGATGCTTAGGGTGGAGTCTTCATCTACTGCATTCCCTGCTGTACAGTGTTCAAACCACCTGTATCTCTATGGTGAGCAAAGAGTATATTGTGCTGCACAGTCCAAAGAGTTAGAGAAGTGGAGCCACAGCCAAAGTGGGTGAGCAAAGCCAGATGCATCGCACAAGATACCCAAATAGCCAACAGGTAGATACAGAGATTACAAACATTTATAAACAAGATCAAGGAAATTAAGTCACTGTAAATGAGATGCCACCTCACACATCTGTCATCGTTACAGAAGGTAAACAACTGTTGGTGAAGTTGTGGAGAAAAGAGAATCTATGCATTGCTGGAATTATAAATTGATAAAGCCACTGTGGGAAACTGGACAGATTTCTCAGAACACAATAGATCATATAACTCAATAGTTCCTCTTCTGGGTATGTAGCTGAAGAAAAAAAAAACCTGTGGTCAAAGAGGGCCCTGTACTCCTATTTTCTCTAATGGACAGTATATATCTAGATGTCATCATCAGATGAATACATAAAGCATAGGAACCAGGAGTAGCTTAGTGTACAGTGCTTGCCTAGCATTCACAAAGCTATTTGGGTCTCAGCACCACAAAAGTTTATAGATACACACACACACACACTACTATTTAACCTTAAGAGAATTATCTTTTATGATAAGTATCAACTTGAGATCTAGAATAGGCTGGGAAATGAGCCTCTGGGGATGCCTCTGCATGACTATCTGATTCAGTTCATTGAAGTGCTAAGACATGCCCTCAGCAGGTGGCATCATTCCCTGTGCTGTATGAAAAGGAAACAAAAGAGATATGAACATGAGTAGTTGTCATTCTCTGCTTCTTGACTACAGACATGATTTGTCAAACTCAAGTTCCTGTTGCAATGGCTTCCCCACCAGGATGGACTGTATTATGGAACTGTGAACCCAAGCAAAACATCCCTTCATGTTGCTTTTGCTAGTGTTTCATCACAGCAAGAGAAAAAGACAATAGATGAACCTGGAGAATATGCCATATGAAATAAACTGGACACAAAGATAAATGCATTTGACCTGGTACGCATGGAAGATTGGTACCAGGAAAACACACCATAAATGCCAAAGTCTATGACTGCTCAAGTTCCGTATACAAAATGAAGTAATAGTGTTTGTATGTATTCTTTTGTATAGTTTCAGAAATCTAACTGTATGTGCATATTCTGTTGCTTATGGACAGTATGCTATGCACATACTGTGCGTATTCACAAATGGGTGTTATTCTTTCACTGTTCACCTGGGACTGACAATCCACTTGTGCAGAACTCTATGGTAGGCAGGCATGAGTCATAGGGACTCGGGAAAGTCAAACTCAGAAGTGTTGACTACAAGCCGAGGAGGAGGATGGGGAGGGGAGATGCTAAGCAAAAAAAAAAAAAATGGAGCATTTCTTAAGTGATCTGTTGGAGAGACTATAATACAGCATTTATATTCCAAATTTGTTGAAAAGTTTATCACAAACTATGAATTGATGTGCATGTTAATTAGCTCAACTTTGCCATCCTGTGATAATGTGCCTCCAAAATATATGCATTTATTATGTGTTAGTTAAAAACAAAAGCAAGGAATGATGGTGCACTTCTGTGATACCAAATTGGCATGGAGGCAGGTAGTAGTTCAAGGCCATCCTGGGCCTGTCTCAAACCATGCACTCTACCCATTAATTAGTTAATTGATTAAAAGTTGAGCCATGAGGAACATAAAGAAACAGGTTAGCTAGGTGTCTAGAATGTGAATAAATGGGAAGCAAAGGAATACCAGGTGAGAAATTTGTGAACCTGACTCACAGGTTCTCCCCATGTCTTGTTTGCCTTGCTGAGGAGCAGCATTAGGGGCAACTGGTCTCAGTAGACACATGGCCATTTGGAAGACTTTGGAAGTCAACACATTTTTTTCTTTTCAGAAATACAATATTGACCTCTAGTTTGAGACACTTCCAACTGGCAGCTTTCTTTGTCCCTTTACAGCTTCCTGATGAAGGGGGAAGGCAGATGTGCCCTATTGTATTTGATATGTTGCTGAAGCCTATATAGGCTGTATGACTTGGGAAAGCTCATG